GCGCACAGGGCAGTGCCTGCGCTGCCTCTACAACACCGCAGGGCCCCACTGCGCCGAGTGCCAGCCTGGATTCTATGGAGATGCCACCCGACACAGCTGCAGGCGTGAGTACCCACTGCTTGCCAAGACAGACGTGCCTCCAGGGCCCGACATGTCCTTGGGGACCATGTGCACCAATGGCTGCCCCTGCTTGTGCACAGGGCTGTGGAGTCCCTGTAGCCCTGCCCTGTAACAAGGTTGTCTCCTCTGCCCAGGCTCAGCACTGTGGCCCAGTCCCTGTCCCCATGTCCAACTTGTTCCATCCCATCTATAGCCTATTCTCATGCCCATTCTTGTCTCCATTGCCATCCCATCCCCACTGCCATCCATCTGTCCCCATCCTGTCCTTATTCCAGCTCTATCCTGACCCTGGTCCTATCTCCATCCCATCCCCACCAGTGGTCCTCATGCTGCACACATTCCACCTCCATCCAGTCTCCACTCCATCCTTGTCCAGTCTGTGTCCATCCTGCTTCCACCCTCATCTATCATCATCCCATTCCTGCTCTGTTCCCATCAGAACTTCCATCCCATCTCCATGCCAATCTCATTCCCATCCTTGTCCTCATTCCCTCAACTCTATCTCTGCTCAGTGCCTCTTGGTTCCAGGTTGCTCCTGCAACCCCCTGGGCACTGATGCCAGCACCTGTGGGCCCCAGCAGTGCCACTGTGACAGGCACAGTGGGCAGTGCCACTGCCTGCCCCATGTGGAGGGCCAGAGCTGTGACCGCTGCAGCCCCAACTTCTGGAACCTGGCCAGTGGGAAAGGCTGCCAGCCTTGCGCCTGCCACCCCCAGCACTCCCTGACACCCACCTGCAACCAGGTGAGACAAGACTGGGACAGGGGCTGGGGGGATGGGATGGGGCTGGGGGTATGCTGCAGCAGTGCCAGCCTCGGCCATGCCATGTCTGTCAGTTCACAGGGCAGTGCTCCTGCCGGCCAGGCTTTGGCGGCCAGACTTGCACCGACTGCCAGGAGCACCACTGGGGTGACCCGCGGCAGCAGTGCCGAGGTGAGAGCCGGTGCAGTGGGGGGACCACAGTGCAGCCTGTGGTGCCCTGACACTATTTTCCTTCCCTTCAGCCTGTGACTGTGACCCCCGTGGCATAGCCAGTGCCCAGTGCCACCGCAGCAGCGGCCACTGCGACTGCCGGCCTGGCATCTCAGGAGTCCGCTGTGACCAGTGTGCCCGGGGCTTTGCTGGTACCTTCCCTGCCTGCCAGCCCTGCCACCCCTGCTTTGGGGACTGGGACCGTGTGGTGCAGGATCTGGCCGCCCGTGCCCGAGCGCTGGCACAGCGCGCCAGCCTCCTGCAGCACACCGGGGCTGCTGGCGCCTTCCAGGGCACCTTCCGGCAGCTGGAGGAGAACCTGGCCGCTGTACGTGACGTGGTGGCCGCCCGCAACACCACTGCTGCTACTGCTGCCCACTTGACACACACCATGGAGGGGCTGCGGTGAGCGCTTGGCATGGGGCATGGCTCCCAGGGTAGCTGTAGGGGCAGCTTTTCACCCCCTTCCTTTGCAGGCGGCAGATCGAGGAGGCGACTGAGAGGCTGACACGGGTGGAAGGGGAGCTGACGGCTGCTCAGGATGCCAACTTCAATGCCAGCCATGTGCTGAACACTGTGGACCGGGGCGCCCGCGCCCTCAACCACAGCCTGCAGGACTTGGAACAGCGGCTACACACCCTCAAGACCTCCAATTTCCTTGGTGAGCCACACCACAGAGCCAGGCCAGGGTGGTCAGGCCATGGCCAGGGGTCTGACAGTGTCCCTGTCCCCCCAGGTGCCTATGACAGTATTCGTCAGTCCTATAAGGAGTCACAGGAGGCCGAGCGCCAGGCGGACGCCTCCACCCGTGCCGTGCCCAGCCCTGTCAGCATCTCAGCAGCCACTCGCCACCGCGCTGAGCAGCTCCTGGCCAGCCAGCGGGATGACTTCAATCGCCACAATGCAGCCAGCCGGCGGGCACTGATGGACCTGGCAGCAAGGGCACAGGCGCTGAGCCTGCACCCGCTCAACGAGAAGGTGGGACACAGGGAGAGAACTGGGGGAATGGCACCCAGAGCTGCCCTGATGCCATGCTGCATTGCAGGTCTGCGGTGTGCTGGGAGATGTGCCCTGTGCTGAGAGCCCTTGTGGGGGTGCCGGGTGCCGGGATGAGGATGGGGGACGACGCTGTGGTGGTCTGAGCTGTGGTGGAGCCGTGTCCAAGGCTGACAGTGCTCTGGACCGGGCACGCCATGCCCAGGAGGAGCTGCGTCAGGCTGCCAGCGACATGGCCCAGCTCTCCCACAAGGTGTGTGGCACATGGGTGCTGGTGGGATCTGGTGGCACAGCCACGCTCTGCAGCCCTTGGGGCTGGCACCAAGGGTCTCTGCCCATGCTCAGGTGGCAGAGGCCAAGGGGAAGGCAGACGAGGCCCGGCTGCGAGCGCAGGCAGCCCTGGACAAGGCCAACCAGACCAGGGCCCGTGTGGAGAGCTCCAACAAGGAGCTGAGGGAGCTAATCAGCCACGTCAAGGCCTTCCTGAGCCGTGAGTGCCGGCATGCCGGGAGGGCTGGCCACCCCTACCCAGGGCTTTGTGGCTCTGCACCTGCACCACAGCGCACTGACCCTGCACTGCACTGCGCTGCATTGTCCCGACACTGCATGTGGGCTGTGCCACCCCTGCCCCATGCTGCATTGCATGGTCCCTGCCCTGCCCCAACCATCCTGTGCCCTCCAGCCTCCTCTGGCCCCCCTGCCCTGTCCCATGTTCCCCTTTGGTCTGCCTGCCCCCTCCACCCCGGCGTGCTGTAGGGAACACACTGACTGCTTCCACCTGCAGAGGAGGGGGCTGATCCTGAGAGCATTGAGGTGGTAGCCAGTCGGGTACTGGAGCTGTCACTCCCCGCTGCGCCGGACCAGATCCACCGCCTGGCCGAGGAGATCAAGACGCGGGTGCGCAGCCTGGCCAGCGTGGACGCCATCCTGGAGCAGACAGCCAGCGACGTGCAGCAGGCTGGGCAGCTGCTGCAGGATGCCCAGCGGGCCAGGTGAGCCCAGGGAGGTGAAGATGCAATCCTTCCAGGGAGCCCAGCCCTGGCCATGCTGAGGCCTTGCTGTCTGGCCGCAGGGCACGGGCAGAGGGGGTGCGGGGCACGGCCGAGGCAGTGCGGCAGGCGCTGGAGGAGGCGCGGCAAGCCCAGGGCACGGCTGAGCAGGCGCTGCAGCAAGCTGCCGGTGACATCCAGCACAGCGAGAGTGCCCTTGGCATGGTAAGAGCCCCATCCCTGTGAGCACGGGACCCCGTCCCCACCGTGCAATCAGTGCGACCACGCCAAACTCCCACACCACCGATGCCCAGATGCAGAGCCAGACAGGAAGTGCGGAGCAGCAGCTGGCAGGTGCCATGGAGCAGATTGGGCTCCTGGACAGACAGACTGATGCCCTGAAGGTGAGACGTGCAAACAACAGCCTGGCAGCCACACGTGCCCAGGAGGCAGCCAGCACTGCGCGGGACCGGGCCGGCGAGGCCAAGCAGGTGGGTGACGGGGGCACCAGAGTGGCAGCAGGGGTCCCCCGACGATCCTGCTGACCAGCGCCGCTGCCCAGCAGGTGCTGGAGGGGCCCCTTCGGGACCGGTACCGGACAGCACAGGAGCTGGTGGAGCACCGGGCGCAGGGCGTGCAGCAGGCGGGCAGCCGGGCACAGCAGCTGCGGGAGGAGGCCGCAGGGCTGCTGCAGGACGCCCAGGGCAAGCTGCAGCGGCTGCGAGGTGAGGCCGGAGCGGGGATGCTGGGGCGGTGGTGGGGCGGTGTGGGAGGCCAGGCTGACTCATGTTCCCGTGTCCCTGCAGCGCTGGAGGAGGAGTACGAGCGGAACGAGCGGGTGCTGGATGCCAAAGCAGCCCAGCTGGGCGGGCTGGAGGCCAGAATGAGGGAGGTGCTGGACACCATCAACCAGCAGGTCCAGATCTACAACACGTGCCAGTGATCCCCCGGAGGGGCCTGGACCCCCCGAGCACCCAGCCTCCCGCCGCCCAGCCTCCGCCTGCCCCGCAGCGGTAGCGGGGTGGGGGCTGCGGGGTACCCCCGTGTGAATAAAATTGCAGAGCAAGAGCGCCTCACCTCCGCCCCGTGCCGCGGGCCGTCTGCCACGGGGGCCCCCAGGGTGGGAGCCGGCCGCCACCAGCGGTGGGGCACAGCGGGGTCGGGCGGGAGGGCGGGAATCGGCAGCGGGGCCGGGGGGCACACCCGGGGCCGCCACAGAGCGGTCCGGCTCTCCCACGGGGCTCCCCGCGGCCGGACCGGGGCTCTCCCGCGGACCGGGGCTGCCCGCGCTCCCGGTGCCGCGGGAACGCGCCGGCACCGCCCCCGTCCGTGTCACGTGACTCGCCCCCCGCGCCCGTGTCACGTGGGCGTGCCCGGCGGTTCCCGGAAGTGCGTCACGGGCTCGGGCCTGTCTCCGTTGTCGGCCCGCTCGGAACTTCGGCGCGGCACAAACAGACCGGAGCGGCGGGCGGGGCCGTGAGTGCGGGGAGGGCCGGGCCGGCCGGGCCGGGGCGGTGGCGGGGCCCGGGAGCGGCGAGCGGCGCCTGGGCCAGCGCGGGGTGAGGGCCGCAGCGGCGGGCAGGGCCCGGGGGCGGCGGGAGGCCGGGATGCGGCCCGTGGGCACGGGAGCCGGGGCGGCGGAGAGCGAGGCAGGCAGCGCATGGCGGTGGCGGCGGCCTGTGACCGGCCTGAGTGGAGAGAACGTGCCGGGCGGCAGGAGCTGGGGCCGCGGGGGCCGAGAGCGGTGCTCGGCAGGACGGGCCGAGCGCGGCAGCCCCGGGCAGGAGCCGGCGCGGTGACCTCGTGCTCTGCCCGCCGGGGCCGCTCGCACCAACACCGCTCACACCAACACACACCGCTCACACTAACACCGCTCACACCAGCACCGCTCGCACCAGCACCGCTCACACCAACACACCCCGCTCACACTAACACCGCTCACAGTCCCTTTGCCCTCTCCCGGTGCCTGGGGCCGGGCAGCGGCGCCCGGGAGGCCAGGGGCTGCCGGCTGCTGTTTGCATGCTCTCATCACTATCACTGCCCATGGCCAGTGGATTGAACTAGATGATTTTCAAGGTCTCCTTCCAGCACAAATCGTTCTGTGGTTCATTGATCGTCCCCAGAATGAGGGAGGGCCTGCCGGGTTCCCCTCTCAGCAGAAGGCTCACTGCTGTCACAGTGTGTTGGGTGCACAGTGATTTCCACGTGGGTTGGAAACATTTTGTGTGACAGTGCTGGCTTGAGTAGCTTCCCCAGGGGACTCTGTGCTTGCCCTGGCTCCACCTGTGTGTCAGGCATGCCCAGAAACTCAAGTAAAAGTCAAGCTTGAGCCTCGGGATTTCTGGTCCCTCAGGGAACAAGAAACAGAAGGTGACACAAGTATTTGTGTACGTGAGGGACATGTTTCTGTTGGCTATGTTTAGGACATGGAGGATCCCAAATGTCCGTGGAAAGATGATGCTGTTGGGATAGCCACCCTTCTCTGCAGCTACCCCTGGAAAGGCCTTTGTGCTCTGATGGGGAGTGCCGTGGACAAGAACCAGGGAGCTCCTCCTGCCAAGTGCTAAACCTGCCCCAGGCATGGGACACAAATTGCATCTCATTGAGCACTTTCTGCTGTCCTTCCTGGCCTGGTGCTGCTCTGGGGAGGAGTGGCCCTTCTCCTTGGCCTCTTGCTCCCTTTCCTCTGGCTAGTCAAAATATTTGCAGTCTCAGCATGAGATGGGCTGGGAAACTGCTCGGGGGCAAGACACAGTTAGGAGAGAGCCCTGCTGGATCTGGGTCTGGTACACACCACAGCACAAAGGCAGGGAGAGCAGAGGATGGGGAAGCATTTCTGCTCCCTGCAGCAGCATGGCCAGGCTTCCCTGGCTCTGGGGATTGAGTAAGGTTTTGTAGGAGTGCCCAGCTCATCAGGTGCTTCCCAGAGGTTCACCTGGCATCTAGCCAGAGCAGCCTTTCGCCATCTCTCCCCTGCAGTGACTCCTACTGTGCCAACAGGAGTGGTGCCAAAACCTTTGTGCACCCAGGGGCTGAACATGCTGCCTGTATGTGCGTTTCCTGGTGGCAAAAAGTCTCTTATTCACCAGTTTTAATCCCTGAGTAACCTGTGCTTTGCCTTCACTCCTCCAAAACCTTGGGGTGTGTGCAGCAGCCTGAGGCTGCCATCAGCCTGGCAGCTGAAATGGGCAGAGCTCCAGCCCCCTCGGTTCCTGCCTGCCGTGAGGAATAGCTGTCAGCAAAGCACCCGAGGGAGCTGAGTCCTCAGTGAGGCGTGAGAGCAGCAGGCTTCTCCTGGAGGAGTGACAAGCAGGCATGCAACCCTGTCTCTCTTCCTCACCCCTTCTTGGGCAGAGGCCTGTCCTTTCTCAGCCCTCCAGGACCCTTCACAGAGCTTGCTTTCAACCCTGCCCAGCAGTTACCCTCTGCCACCCCTTCGGAGGTGCAGGAAGGAGGCGACAGGGCGGACCCTGCATGAAGCAGTCATTGCTTCTTGAGTCCTATTTCTCCTGGGGTTTTTACCCTGGGGGCAAAAGAAATACAATAAAAAATTCTTTCCCATGTTTGCCAAGCCAAGGTGAGCTTCTTCAGCACCAGGAAGCATCTGTAGCCAACCTGTTTGGCTGTCGGTGGGGGCTGGAGCTGAGTGACAGCATGCAGCTGGCATCAGAGGCCTAGCCTGGTGAATCACTGCCACTTTCCCTCCTGTGGGGGCCCTTCCCATTCCCTCTGGAGCCAAAGTGCTTCTGCATCCTGGAGAGACCCAGTGAGTGCAGTAGCATGGGGATAATGCTGCTGCCCTCCCACACTCTTTCAAGCTCTTTGGGACTGATTCTGGACCCTGCTCAGCATCTCAGTCTCCAGGTCACTTGGGCCTGGCAGGAGTTGTCTGTGCCAGGCAGTTGGGCTGGACTCAGCTTTTCACTTGGCTTCAGTGGCTCTTGGTGGTGAGGGTGGGTTGGCCTGAAGAGAAATGGTTTGGATGCAACATTTGTCATGGGGCTGGCTTTGCCAGAGCTGAGGGCAAGACCAGGCTGCTTTGCTCTCTGGGGTTCCTCTCATTTTGTGGCTATAGCTCCACATTTGTGGCTACTTGTTGCCCTGAACATTTCTAGAACACAAATGCCCTGGCAACATGGGGCCAGCAGCACAGAACTGGCAGTGTCCTTCCTCTGCCAGAGTGCCTCTCTTGGAGGTGCCTCCTGCCAGTGGCCGTGCCCTTGCCCAGCAAGGGGTCTGTGCTTGGTACGTGGGTGAAAGCAGAACAGGGTGTTCCCAAGGGACAGCTTGCCTCCCACTGATGGAGAGGCAGGCTCAGTGGAGCTGGCTAGGCCAAGGTGTTGTTGGGCTTGGCTCTGTGTCCTCATATGGGAGCCGAGCCGTGGGATGCGTGTGAAACGGTGCACTGGGAGCTGTGGCAGGCAGCTGGCACCGGGGGGTGGGCAGGATCCCAGCGGCTGGGCCCGTTTCCTTGCTGCAAACCCCTGCAGGCTGGTAGGCACTGCCAGGGTCAGGGTGTGCAGCCAGGGCAGCGAGGGAGGAAACCTTCCCAGCTCTCTGCTCTCACCGCCTCTGTGGAGACACCTCCAGTGGGACTGTTTTCACTGGGTTGTTTTGGCTCTGCTCTCTCAAAGCCCTGAACACTTCAGGGTGACACTGATGAGTGCACCTGGGCCAGCAGCTCCCAAGCCCTGTAGGGGAGCTGGCTTTGTAGGGAGGGCATGTCTACAAAGGGGGCAGGGGTGAACAACTTAAATGCCCTGCTCAGCCTACTCTCTTCCTGGGGCAGGAGGAGCAGAGGTATCCTGTTTCCAGGCCAGGCCCCGCTGACGCTGTCTGTAAACTGGCTGGGAGATAAATATTCAAGGTGCAGTCATGCTGGTTAAGTTCCCAGCTAGTGGGAGGAACTCTGCTTTTGCCAGGGAGCTCTGCTCTCATCTGTCATGGGAGACTGTCCCAGGCCTGCTTCCTTCTTAGGGTGTTACTGGCTCCTATTCTGGTGCTGTTACATGGGTCACTGTTTGACTGAAATAGCTGTCGCTCCAAGCTGTGTGACAGGCTCCCCCAGTTGACTCTGGAGGCTCAGTTTTGCAGATCCAGGCCTCCTCACGTCCTTGCCCTCAGCTGTGTCTCTGGGTGTTAGCGCCAGCAGCTGCTCTGGGCCGTGTTGCTATAGTGGGAGCCATGAGCATGATACTTGCTTTCCAGGTTTTTAATGCGTGCCACATACTGAAGACCCCTGGTTGTATGTTGGGAGCTCTGACAAGCTCATGCTTTTGGCAGTAAGCATTGTAGCAGCTGTGATGAGGTAGGTTTCCTCACTGAGCGCTGCATGGGGCTTCCCATAAACACCATGGTGAAGGTCATGTAAGGGCACTGGCCCTGAGGCAAAGAGTGGATCCTGCTGCTGTTGGGCCTTTTCCACCTGCACTCCTGCCATGCTTGCTCTTTCCTCTCTTTAGGCCATTACTTCCTTGCCAGAGAGTTTGACCACAGAGAGTCGCCAAGATAGCTGGGCCAGGAAGAAAACGTCGCACCCCTGACCCAGACTCCATTACCGACCCCGGCGGGCTGTTTGTGTCCTCCAAACGGCTGAAAATGTCCAGCAGCACAAATGCCCCTGGCCAGAGGAGAGCGTCTCGGGGCTTGGATGATGCCACCAACAAGAAGAAGCAAAAGGATCGAGCCAATCAGGAAAGCAAGGAAGGTGAGAGCCCCTCAGCATCACTGGTGAGCAGGCCCGTGGTGTCTCAGCCCCGCAGCCTGGGAGCCTCTCAGCCATCTGCTGCAGGATAAGCAGATTTGACTAATCACTTCCTGCAGCTTATGGTAACCCGTGTGATGTGGGATCTTCTTCGACACAGTGTCCTCCCTGGGCCTGTAACCTCCTTCCTTTGGGCACTACTTAGCCCCAGCGATGTTAGGAAGGTTGGGCCTGTCGCCGTGTTAGCTAAAGTCTGGAGCTGGCCTTGGTGATTGTTTCTAGATTCTGCTTTGGACTGGGTGTGATCTGCCCTGATCCAGTGAGAGTGGAACTGAAACCTGTGGGTGCTCTTGCAGCTGGAGGCAGCACCGCTTCTTTTCTATCAGATGTTGTGAGGGAGTGACTAGGAGTGCAAGGCCTGCGGGTGGGGCTGGTGCTTTAGCTTCTGAGTGAGAACTGGGTGTGGCTCAGGTGAAGTAGTTGCTGTAGAGTAATTCCTTCTGTAACTGTCATGTATCCTGTGACAAAAATGATGCTTCGGGTGCAGGGAATGCCTGCAGGCAGGATGCCTGCAAGAGTTTCTGTGGCTCTGGAAAGCTGTTTGATTTCCGTGCCTGCTCTGTTATAATTATTGTAACCTCAAAATCACAGAGTGTTTTATAGGCCAAGGTAATTGAGTCTGCGCCAGAGCGGCTGGTTTGGTCCCTGATGTGAAATCCCACAGTGCAGAGCACAGCACTGCTTTCTCTTGCAGGGGAGGAGTGTGCCTCTGGTAGGGCTTGACTCTGCATCCTCTGACATGGGAGCCATCTTGAGGCCATCCTGTCCCCTCTGTGAGAGGTGGTGAGGGGCTGTAGATCCTCTAGGCAGTGCTACTGCCATGCTTCTCACACTGCCAGCCCCACTGGCACCTTTGCACCAGTGGCTGTGGTGATCAGCAGAAGTTTCTTACTGGTTTGTAGCCAGTTAAGGGAGGCAGTGACAGCCCTCTGAGTGTTCCTGAGTGGAGACCACTGTTCCTGTTGCCACTATTTCTCTGCTCCAGGAGAAGGTGCTGTTGCCTTGAGTCCCTTGCCTGGCAGAGTTCACTATCCTGTGAGGCTAGAGCAGGCCTAGAGACACTTCTGGCTGTTGGAGGTAATTCTGTGGGTAGCAGGGATTAGGTGTCAGGTCAGTTTGGTTCCCCACCCTGATCTGGAAGGAAGTTTTCAGATGTGGACATTGGCAGCTTGTGCAGGAATGGAAATGTTAAAGTGCAGCTGGGCCACGTGGTTCTCTGGTTACAGCAGAATTAGTTTGAGCATGACCAAACACCAGGTTCTTTCTGTCAGATCAAGACAGGACTCCTCTGTGTGGCTGGGGGCTGGGACCTGGTGTACCAAGCTGGGCAGCACAGCTGAGCCTGGATGCCAAAAGCTCACAATGAGATGTGCCTCAAAAAAGCAGTGCCTGCATGGTGCAGAATTGTTGTGTTGCTCCCACTGTGGTACTGTTTAGCCTGGGGCGTGGTGGTGTGGCCCAGAGCAGCTGTCTTGGCACTGACCTGCTGCAGTGCAGCAGGCAGGACTCTGGGGAAGGAGAAATGTGAGAAAGCAGAGGAGGGAGGTGGGCAACACATGCAGGGTGAAAGGCCTGGACACAGATTCAGGGTAGAAAGAGGTGATGTGTGAAGTTTTCAGCATCAGCTTGCTGGCCTATGTTTTGAGGTGACAGAATGACAGACCTGTCTGCGCTCTGCTTCTCTGCCCACCAGTGTCTCGCCCTGAGCTCGAGCAGGCTGAGACTGCCCAGGAGAAGGACTCAGAGGAGGGTAAGTCGAGGTGTGTGCCAGCTGTCAGTGCATGGCCATGGAGTGCCCTTGCCAAGGGATCTGAAGCTCTCACGTTGTTGTCCAGTGCTCTGGCATTGAGCAGAGCTAACATGAGCACTCCCTTGCCTCAGTGTTTATCTTAACAGTATGTGGCCTTCCCAGGGGTGGAGAAGGCTGTCTGCAAGGAAGAGGTCCTGGGTATGTGGCAGGCTGCTTGCAACTCAGGTGTCACAGGGCCACTGAGCACAGGCCTGGGATGCCTCACTGCTGACACCTGCTCTGCTTGTTTCTGAGGAGGACATGATGCTGGGCTGGGAACATCCCAAGTTGTGTCACCTTGTGGGCAGCGTTGACTGGTTTCTGCCTCAGTCCAGACCTGCTTTGAGGACAGAGTAGGATGTCCTTGTGCCCCAGGGGTAGAACAAACCTGATTGATATCAAGGTGATCAAAATCACTTCCTTGTGTTGAAGACTTCAGGGCATCAAAGGCCACACCCGGAGCGTGGCAGGCACACAATGGAAGTTCTGTCTGCACCAGAGTATCACTGCTGCACTCTTTTCTCACCTGTTACAGTGTACTTGCCCCCTGGCCAGCCTGCCCATCTTTCAGCCGTGTTAGCCACGCTCACCTGGCAGGAGTACAGTGCTCTGATGGTTGCAGCTGGGCTGCTTGGTTTGCATATGCAAAGGGGAAGTGGCAATTTCTGATTGTGGTCAGAGTCCACCTAAATCCCCAAAGTAATTCTGTGGCTTCCTGGTTCCTTGGGAAAGCAGTAATTGCTTTGTCGTTGGCAGGAACCACCCTTTCTTCCCAGCTGCCACTGCTTGTGGCAATGCCAAGAACAGCGCTGCCTTTCTGATCTCTCCGGTTCCCAGCGGGATTCATCTGCCCTGCTGCAACATGTGTTCCTGTTTGTGGCCTGTGTGATGAGGGCAGGTCCCTTTTAATTGTCATGATCTGTGTTCCCTGCGGTGACCTCCTTAACTGCGTGTGTTTTCAGGCTTGTGTTCCCCAACCAAAGAGTGGGCACTTCAGGCTCATTCCCCAGCAAGTGGGTGACACTTCCCTCCTTTTTCCTAGAGCTGCTGCTGGACTGGAAGCAGAATGCTGATGAGATCATTATCAAGTTGAATTTGGGCACTGGAGCTCTGAAGGCAGAGGATGTACGTGCTGATTTCACTGACACGGACTGTGTGGTCAGACTACCAGGTATGGGAATGGAGCAACTGCTGCAAGCGTTTATGCATAGGGATTTGGCACAGCTCTGGGCCAAGCACGGGGTTTCTGCAGGCAGACATCAGACTTTTCCGTCAGAGGCAATGCCCTGCTCTCAGCTGGCACACACTCAGGCAGCAGACAGGGACAATAGGAGAGCATTGTAGAGCTGGGGAGGGCAGGAGCTGGCCTCTGTGCCAAGTGAACAAATGTCCACGGCCACGCCAGTGCGTCTCTGTCCCCTGCTTGCTGGGATGGCTGAGTCAGTCCCGGGTATCCTTTGGAAAAGTGACTGTGCCCCTGAGGGCGGGGAGGCCCAGGGCCTTCCCGCTGGGAAGAAGGCCAACCAGATGTACAAAGCAAGTTCAGAGAAGCTGGCTGGAGCCCTGGAAGGCTCCAGGGGTATGGTGGCAGCCTGCCTGCAGCCTTCTTGGCTCTGAATGAGTGCTTCCTTCATCCTGAGGGCAGGTGAAAGGGGGCTGTGGGTTAGGTGACAGCTGCCTGGAGCACTGCCTGAGGTGCTGGTTCCCCTCTGCTTTACAGACGGGCGCCAGTGGAGCTGTCAGTTCTACGAGGAGATTGAGGGCTCCTGCAGCAAGATCCAATGCAAGAAGGGCAACTTTCTACAGCTTGTGCTTCAGAAGAAGATCCCTCTCCATAACTGGTCTTCACTTCTGGTAAGGGGGGAACGATCTGTCTATTAAGGGAACTTGTGGAGCCCTGGGGAGCTGGGGTGAGCTTTGAGCTCCCTACTGTTGAGCTGCCCAGGGAGCAATGTGGGACATGTCCTTCATCTACGTGCTGCATGAGCCATCTGTCACTGTCCCAGGGAGTCGTACCCGTTTCTGCCTGCCATGCATTCCCAGATTCTGGAGTAGAGTCCTGGTGCAGTCTGGGAAGGGAGAGCGAGGGTGAGGGGTTGATGGGGAGCCTGAAAGATGCTGCTACCTGAGTACCTTCCCACTGTGCTGCATTGCTTTTTACAGAAGAAAAGGAAAGATGGATCCAAAGAAGTGGCCAAAGGGGCTGCGTGCTGGGAGAATGGGAAGGAGAAGGCTTCTGCAGAGTTGACCCCTGAAGAGCCGAGAGCTGAAGGCACAGAGCCACCAAGATCCCGGCGGGAGCCCTCCAACCCCAAGCGTGGTCCAGGAAGAAGCGAGGCCCTGGGAGGGAAAAGCCCAGCCAGCCCAGGGACACAGAGTGGCCCCAGTGCCAAGCGGGCAGTATACCTCAAAGTAGCTCCCACCGAAGAGGATCCGAATGCCAGGGTCACCGGGAGCACGGAGCCCAGCAAAGGGCACAGTGGGAGGACTGGCAGCCGCCGCAACGGCAGAGCCAGCCAGGTCGATGCACCTGCGGCCCTTGCAGACCTCGCACTGCCACTCGAGAAGGTACCTGGGGACCTGGTTGGACAGGGTACCCCTGATTCCTCTGCCCTGTGCAGGGGATGTAGGACCCATCCCTGCTGATGAGGATGAGGTGGGCTCTGGGATGCTGAGGGCTGATAGGAGGACCTGTGGTGGAGGAGAGAGTGAAGTGAGGACCCTGCAGTTGCTGTGCTGTGGTGCTAGTGGGGCTGAGCTGGCATGGGATGTGCAGGGGAAGCAGGTGGTATGGAGCTGTGTCTGACTGGCTGGCAGGAGCCACAGTGGGTGGGTCAGGGCAGCTCAGAGGTGACAGTCTGTGTTTCACTGTGTCTTTCTGTATTGAAAGGCTGTGGCTTTGGCCAAAGAGACTGTTCCTGTGGAGATGCCACCTCTCACCCCTACCACAGAGGTGCTCCCTCACCGTGTTGCCACCTGTGTTGAGAAGCGAGTCCTGCAGCCAGGCAGCCCTACTGAGGCCTTGCGGAGCCGGGACTGCCTGCCTATCCTGGGAGAGAGCTCAAAGGCCATCCCAGTGGCCACCCCTCCCATGGGCAGAGATGGTGAGAAGAGGGACTGGTCCAAGGACGACGTGGCTTTGGAAGCAGCAGCTGATGGTGAGTGGCCAGAGCCCATGGGGTGAGCCTGGTCGGGAAGGTCCATCTGCTGAGGACCTTTCCTGGGATAGCTTGCAGCCCCAACATGCAAGGACGGTAACCTCTCGCTCCTTGGTTTCCTCACTCAGAGCCTGAGCCTTTTGTAAGCCTGACCTTTGTCAAGAATGACTCATATGAGAAGGGCAATGATCTGATGGTGGTGCATGTGTATGTGAAGGAGATCCACAAGGAGACATCCAAGGTGTTGTTCCGGGAACAAGACTTCACACTAGTGTTCCAGACAAGGTACAAGTTTGCCTCGGGATGATGCCAGGCTGCTGCAGAGCTCCTGATTGCGCCTGGGCTACTTGTTTGTTCACCTCTGCTCACTCCCAGTTTCTCTGCAGTGATACGAATTTCCTTCGTCTCCATCCTGGCTGTGGGCCCCACACAGTGTTCCGGTGGCAGGTGAAGCTCAGGTATGAGTCCTGCCCTTCTAACCCACACCAGAGCAAGGGAGGTGAGAGTGCAGAGCTGGAGCAGGAACCAGTCCCATGTGGCGGTTCTGTACAGGGAATGCTCGTTTCCGCATCTGGAGGTTTCACTTACACCCTGCTACACTGGTGCCCTGAGCCTGGTCTGCCTTGGCTGTGTGCTCGCTTGCAGGGGAGGAAATCCAGTGTCTCCTTGCCTGCAGTTTGCCCCAAGCTGTTCTAGAGCTCTTGGGGACAGAGCCAGACCAGCTTTGTGCCCTTTGGGTAGGGTGTGCAGCAGGAGAGAGCCAAGCAGAATGGATCTGTCAGAAAAGGGGCGCTCTGTGTGCTCAGTGTGGCCAGGCTTGAGGGTTTCCACCCTGCTTTGTCGGGGCTACCTCAGGATTAGTGCCAGCAGGGTCCCTACTGCCTGGAGGCCGTGGGACTGCTGTGCAAAGGCTTTGGCATGTCTGAGGCTGCTGTGGGGTCTGGGACACCTCTGACTTGCTGCGTGCCTTGCAGGAACCTTATTGAGCCGGACCAGTGCACATACAACTTCACGGTGTCTCGCATTGATGTCTGCCTGAAGAAACGCCAGAGCCAGCGCTGGGGAGGGCTGGAGGCTCCAGCCACACGAGGTCTGCACCCTGCCTTCGTGTTCTGCCTGCCTACTGCAGTGGGGCATGGGCCCTCCTCACCACTACCAGCTGCCAGCTGGTGCTGGATCCTCTGGCATGGAATGGTGGGGAAGGCTGAGTGGGTGCAGGTAGGAGGGATGTGAGGTGGGGTGTGAGCCAAGTGATAAGGGAAGGGCACTGCTGTTTCCCTTTCTCACGGGTAGGAGAGAGCCTGGGCAAGTGTGGACTGAGCAATTCAGCCCCACTGTGGGCAGTGTGTGGTGCTGCTAACCACAGGCCCACCCTTCCCCCTTTTTAAGGTGCAGTGGGTGGTGCAAAGGTTGCCATGCCTACAGGCCCTACCCCTCTGGATAAGAACCCTCCGGGCAGTAACCAGCACCCCCTCTCCAGCAAGGAAGAGGCCCGAACCAGTGACAAAGAGAAGCCACGTGTGGAAGATGGGGCTCTGGATGGTGTGGCAGCCCGTACGGCCCCAGAGCACTTGGCAGTGAAGCAAGAGCCACACATTCCTTCGGTGAGTGTGGTCACACTGGGTCTGACTTGGATAGGGGAAAGAGAGACACTACCTCAGTGCCACTCTGGAGACTGAAGTACTGCTGGAGGAGGGGGTGGTGTCCCTCAGTCATAGTTGGCAGGACTGGGGGCAACTGTTGGCCTGTCTGTCCCAGTCCAAGTGGGAGATGGTGTGATGGCTCCAGATCTCTCTGGGGTTTTCTTGGGCTTTTGAGTTCCTCTGGTGTTCCCAGAAAGAGTCCCTGAGTGCCACACCCTCACACCTGCCTCTGCTTTGGCAGCCCAAACCAACATGTATGGTGCCACCAATGACACACAGCCCGGTGAGTGCTGAGAGCGTGGAGGATGATGAGGATGAGGATGAGAAGAAGAAGGTCTGCCTGCCTGGCTTCACGGGGCTGGTGAACCTGGGCAACACCTGCTTCATGAACAGCGTCATCCAGTCCCTGTCCAACACCCGGGAGCTGCGTGACTACTTCCATGGTGAGCCCACCCTAGGAGCCCAGCAGAGCTTGACCACTTAGATGAGGAAGCCAGCAGCCACCCTGAGCTCCTGCATTTCTTACAGATCGGTCCTTTGAGTCAGAAATCAACTATAACAACCCGCTGGGGACGGGTGGACGCCTGGCCATTGGCTTTGCCATGCTGCTCAGAGCACTGTGGAAGGGCACGCACCATGCCTTCCAGCCCTCTAAACTGAAGGTAGGGCCGTGGCATTGGTGCTCAGCAAGAGCTGCTGTGGGTCCCCAGCATTCCTTTGTGGGCACCTGGCTGCCCTGCAAGTGCCACAGAGACCTGTGGGTGTGGGTGGGTGCAGCCGGGGTTTGTGCATGGGGCAGGGAGTGCTGCCAGAGGTCTGCTGACCAGCCCTGACTACTGTGCTCCCCACAGGCAATTGTGGCCAGCAAGGCCAGTCAGTTCACTGGCTATGCCCAGCATGATGCTCAGGAGTTCATGGCCTTCCTGCTTGATGGCCTGCACGAGGACCTCAACCGCATCCAGAACAAGCCCTATACAGAGACTGTTGACTCGGATGGGAGGCCTGATGAGGTGAGGGTGTTCCTCCCCCCAAGTCACTGGGAGAGCAGCCTGGGTGGTTTAATGAGGTGCTAAGCCCTTTCTTCCTGCAGGTGGTAGCTGAGGAGGCTTGGCAACGACACAAGATGAGGAATGACTCGTTCATAGTAGACCTCTTCCAGGGCCAGTACAAATCCAAGCTTGTGTGCCCAATGTGCTCCAAGGTAGGGCAGCCCTAAAGGTTCTGTCCCTGTCCTGGTTGTGCAGAAGTACGCTCCTGACCCTCAGAGAGCACAGGTCACAGGGCGGGGCTGGATCTGCTGCTCAGCCACAAGCACGTCCCACAGCTGAGTGTGTTTTTGTATCTGCAGGTGTCTATTACCTTTGACCCCTTCCTGTATCTCCCCGTGCCCCTCCCACAGAAGCAAAAGGTGCTGACTGTCTACTACTTTGCAAAGGAGCCACACAAGAAACCCATCAAGGTAAAGGATACCTTCTACCCTGGGGAGGGAGCCTAAGAAGGCTCCTGGAGGTGCCCCACGCAGCTGGTCATGTGCCAGCCGGCTAAGCCGTGTGTTAAGTAAGGGCCCGCATGCCTTAGTGTGGTGTGGCTAATGTGGCACTTTCTTGGTGGCAGTTCCTCGTGAGTATCAGCAAGGAGAACTCCAGTGCCATGGAGGTACTTGACTCAGTTGCCCACAGTGTGCGTGTGAAACCAGAGAACCTGCGCCTGGCAGAGGTGAGAGTGCTGGGCAGATACCTGCTCTGGAGGGTTAGGCCACCACAGCAGGGCCTCCGGGTGCCCATCTTTCCCTTGTGAGGTGGTGAGCTGAGCACAGTATCCTTGGGCTGCTGCTGTTCCCACAGCTCACTGTGAGGCTGAGGTCTGTGCCTCTCTGAGGAGAGGACACACAGGGCAGCCCTCACACGGCCATGCTCCACTGCTTTCCTGGCAGGTGATCAAGAATCACTTCCACCGCATGTTCCTGCCATCTAACTCACTAGACACAGTCTCGCCAACGGACCTGCTGCTTTGCTTTGAGGTGCTGTCCCCAGAGCTGGCCAAAGAGCGTGTGGTGGAGCTTCAGGTCCAGCAGGTAAGAAGGCACATTGGGACTACTGGGAGGGATGCCGGAAGGCTGAGCACTGAGCAGGAGGGGCAGAACTGCCCACAAGGGCAATTAGCTACAGTGAGCATGGATGCCCAGCGAGGCTGCCTTGTCCTGCCCAGGTGCCCTTCCCTGTCCAATGGGTCCTTTCTCCTGCAGCGTCCGCAGGTGCCCAGTGGCCCTGTTGCCAAGTGTGCAGCCTGCCAGAAGAAGCAGCTGCCAGAGGATGAGAAGCTCAAGCGCTGCATGAGGTGCTATCGAGTTGGTTACTGCAACGTGTGAGTTGGCTTGGTGCCTGGCAGGGATGGAGGGTTTCCTGCTGTGAAGGGCTCTGCCTGCTGGGAGAAGGTGGGATGGGTCTGCCCTTTGGGATGGAGCCAGCTGAACGCCTGGTGTTCCCCTTGTCTGCAGCACACTCCTCTGGCCCTGCACTGCTCCTTCCCAGGCTGCTCAAGGATGCTGAGTTCAGCAGGGGCTGTATGTATGTCTGACATGCTATGTATGTGTTACAGGGCATGTCAGAGAACACACTGGCCAGACCACAAGGCTTCGTGCCGTCCTGAGAACATCGGTTTCCCCTTCCTCATCAGTGTGCCCGAGTCCCGCCTCACCTACGCCCGCCTGGCCCAGCTGCTGGAGGGCTATGCAAGGTGAGAGTCCAGGGGAGGATGGTGCTTCTGCCCCAGAGCTGAGCTCAGCCCCGTGTCTGGCCAGCTCTAACTCCCACCTCCATGCCCAGGTACTCAGTCAGCGTGTTCCAGCCTCCATTCCAGTTGGGCCGGATGTCACCGGAGCAGGGGCTGCAGCCTCTGCACTCGGACAAGCTGGAGCCCCTGGCCAAGAGCGGCTGTGCAGCAGCCACCTCTGCCCCCGAGTTGGGAGATGGGGACAGGGTTTCCAGCCTCCCTCAGGAGCCCCCACTCTCGCCAGCTGTGCCTGAGCTGCAGCCAGAGATGGGGGATACTACCACTGTCCGGAGCAAGGTCCTGACAGCCAGGAGTTCCCTCCTGAGCTTGGATTCAGGGTTCTCTGAGCACATGGAGTCACAGGGTGACAGCTGTTGTGAGAAGGAGCCGTCGTATGAGAGAGCCCTCAAGCCAGAAGGTAAGAGGTGCTGGAGTGCTGGCTGTGTCTATGCCGGGAGCTCGGGCAATTCTCCCTCCTTGGGGTGACCTCCCAGCACAGCATCTCTTCTCCGCTTGTGAGCTTGGTCTGGAGACTCTTGAGAACACAGATGAGGCCATGGGAACTTTGTTTTGGCACTCTTGCCTCACCTGAAATGCCTACCTACCCACGCTCTGCCCTGCCCTGGCAAAGCCCAGGGTGTAGAGCAGAGACCTGATGAGCAGAGAGGCTGGAGTGCTGTGTTGTGGGAGAGGTGGGAATGCAGGGGCTGGCAGAAGTCCTGTGGGAGCAAGGCAGAGCTGGTGCAGGCTGAGCCCCTGGGGGCTGTGAGCAAAGCACTTCTCTCGCTCTGACTCAGCTGCATGGGACCAGCCTCTCGCGCTCGGCTGCCTGGCTGTCACGTTTCCAGACACTCGTCTCAGGATGGCAGCAATGTGCAGTGAAGGGGCAAGGCAGGCAGAGGAGCACAGCTTGCCAGGGGCAGGCGCCTGCTAAAAATAGTCAAGGACACGGGCACGTGGTTGTGTCCCTTCAAGGCCGTAGCATGTGAGGTGGGGGTGGGGGCGCTGCAAATTCTTGGCCCCTACGCAGGGCAGACAGGCAGTGCCACCACAAATCTGTCTCTGCCTATTCACAGCTGCCATCCCTGGGTACCAACACACTCCAGACTCGCTGAGTGCCCGCGCCACACCGTTCTACATCACTAAGATCGACGCTGCCAACCGAGAGCACAAGCTGGAAGATAAAGGTGAGCCAGAGCCCTGTAAAGCACCACCTTCATCCCTTACAGCCTCTGGCAGGGTAGTGGATCTGCCTGGCCAGGGTGCCAGAGTCTGCCTGGCGCAAGATGAGCCCAGGTGTCCACACTGGACAATAAAAGCTGCATCTGACAGGGGAGGAAAGGGCTCTGCTGCACAGAGCCTCTGTCTAGAAGCTCTTCTTGGGCATGACATTCCTGCTCTCCTCAGCAAATAGGCCAATTCCTTCCAGCCTCGTGTATTCTCAGAGGGTCTGTGATCTCTGGGTCACCTCTTTGTTTGAATGGGAAGCCGACACCACGTGCTGGTTGTGAGGGTGCTGCTGATGAGAGGACTGTGCTAGTGTTGCACCCTGCAGGCTGAGGGGCTCTGCATGATGAACCTGGCCAGGGGGTGTCTGTCCCTTTCTGGCAGCACTTTTTGATCTCTGTATCTAACTGGGATGGGCAAGATTGCTCCAGTAAGGTGACCTGGTCCAGCCTGGTGGGGTAGGTGTGTGAGGTCTGTGCCCCTTCCCAGGTGACACCCCCCTGGATCTGACAGACGACTGCTCCCTTGCCCTCGTGTGGAAGAACAATGAGCGCCTCAAGGAGTTCGTGTTGGTAGAATCCAAGGAGTTGGAGTGTGTGGAGGATCCAGGCTCAGCCAGCGAGGCAGCCCGGGCTGGCCACTTCACCCTGGAGCAGTGCCTCAATCTCTTCACGAAGCCTGAAGTCCTGGCCCCAGAGGAAGCATGGTGAGGAAGGCAGCAGGGTGGGTTCCAGCCAACAGGCCCAGACAGCAGCAGGGGTTTCCCGGGAGCTGCCCGGGCCTGCACGCTGTTTCTGGTGGCAGCCAGGAACAATGGGCTAAGCCAGCAGGGAGTAAAGCTAGTGCTCTGCAGGACTGTACTGGCCTGCCCTTGACAGAGGAGGCTGAGCCCTCCCACATAGCCTTTGCCAGCCCTGCATGTGGGGACCCTGGGGCTGAGCTGGGCTGCAAGGACTGAGGCTCTCCCCATGCCAGTAATGAGCACACTCTTCCCCCAGGTACTGCCCCAAGTGCAAGCAGCACCGTGAGGCTTCCAAGCAGCTGATGCTGTGGCGGCTGCCCAACGTCCTCATCATCCAGCTCAAGCGCTTCTCCTTCCGCAGCTTTATTTGGAGGGACAAGATCAATGACATGGTGGACTTTCCCGTCCGGTGAGAGCCTGGGGGATGGTGTGCCTGGGTTGGCACTGCCTCTGCTGACCTCCAACCCAGCCTGTATAACACTGATCACTGTATCTCTGTACAGGAGCCTGGACCTGAGCAAGTTCTGCATTGGTCGGAAGGGTGAGCAGCAGCTGCCTATGTATGACCTGTATGCTGTGATCAACCACTATGGAGGCATGATTGGAGGGCACTACACAGCGTACGCCCGCCTGCCCAACGACAAGAACAGCCAGCGCAGCGACGTGGGTGAGCATCTGTCACCTTGCCGCCCCTGTGCTCCTGCAGCCGTGACTTGTCTGCTTGCTTAACCCTTCCTCCTTCTCAGGCTGGCGGCTCTTTGATGACAGCACAGTCACCACTGTGGATGAGAGCCAGGTGGTCACCAGATACGCCTATGTCCTCTTCTACCGCCGGCGGAACTCTCCTGTGGAGAGACCCCTGCCGGGGCATCCCTCAGACCACCGCGCTGAGCGCACTCCCTCTGCCGAAGCTGCTGCCAGCCAGGTGAGCACTCGCGTCCCTTTCGCCACTGTTGGAGCCACAGAGCCTTGAAATGTGCACAGGGGCCCACGTGCAGGGCCCTGCTCGTCTTTACCTGCACCCACAGAGCCCGGTGCAGCTGTGGTGCAGTGCCTCTACCCCTTTGATACCAAAGAGCTTACGCCAGCTGGGCATTGGAGCCTGTCTTGCCTTGTTCTTACTGTGGGCTTGGGACAGTCCCCATCCTGAGGGATCACAGGAGAGCTGGTTTTCATCATCAGTGTGGAAGTGCTGATGGGAGGGCACTGGAAGAGGAGGAAGCAGGGCACAGCCTCACTGGGGTCTGCATTGAAGGAGGGGTTGTGAATGGTGCAGTAGGATCTGGTTGTGCCAGGGAGCAGTAAGAACTTGCCCTCCGGAGCCACTTTCAAGGCAGGGTGGGGAACACTTTCTGCTGGGGCCCAACTCAGGGCCAAGCCAAGTGCAAAAAAGGTAAATGCCAGTGCTGAGCCAGAGGCCTGGCAGCCTTCACAGGGTGCTGTAGAGAAACCTGCCAGAGCGAGCTCTGTTGCTGGGTGGCCTGGGAGGGAGGGACTGGGGGTGGGCCAGACAGCAGGGTGCTTTCAGAATGCAGTTGTAGGGAATGGCTGCACTGCTCTTCTTGTAAAAGTCAGGAAGGCTGAGGCTGGTGCCCACCTGGTCAGACCCCATGCACCATTGTGCTGCAGATGTTCCCTCCATGCTCAGCATCTCTGTGGGCCCACAGAGTCTGAGAACAATGCTCAGTTCATCTCTAGCATGACTGCACATGTGTGCACAGAGGGGTCCTTCTGGCCTGGCCTCCCTGCCCCTCTGGTTCATCTTCCCCTTGACCCAGTGCTGGTCAGGCATCCCAGCTCTGCCCTCTCACCTGGGGACAAGCTGTCTGTCTCTGAGGCCAGTGGGGCTGTCTGGCATGTTGGTGTCTGCCTGCCTGGGCTGTTCCTGCCCTGCGTGCGTGTCCTGGAGCAGCCCCCCTCACTGGGGGCAGCCTGAGCAATGAGAAAGCTGCACTGCTTTTCACACACTGGTGGTGAGAGGCTTCAGGGACCGAACTGGCACTGTGGCTCACTGTGTGCCCCATGGCATGGGGTTCATCAGGTTGCTCTGTGGCACTGGGGCTCATTGGGCCCCTGGCAGCACCATTTCCCCTGCAGTAAATGGGATGCATTGGATCCCAGTGAGGCTCAGCAGGTCCCTGAGCACACTGGACCACCTGCACCCTCCGTGGCACTGGGTGCCCTCCAGAGACCTGCTCCCTGACTGGCTGCTCTTCATGATCACCGCCATGAAGGGCCAAGCTGTGGTTGGCTGCCTGTGGAAAATCCTCCTGGAACCTGGGCTACGATTGGTTGTCAGAGCATTCCTACCCACCAAAGCTGAGCTGTGACTGGCTGTTCTGGCACTGTGCCTCCTGCTCCCGCTGCTCCAGCTGGCTCTGGATTGGCTGTCATTTGAAAGATCCTGTTGGGATCACAGAAGCTGGGCTGTGATTGGCTGCTGCCTGCTCCCTTGCCTCCTGGACCCACCAATGCAAGTGCATCTGCTCCGTCAGGATCCAGCTGCTGGCTTCACTCCCTGCAGTCCCGTGAAGACCCTGCCCGGCAGCTGCCCACGCTCCCTCCCACAGAGCCACCCACCGGAGCCCCACACACCAGAGACCCTGAAGAGCTGCGGGGGCGGGCGCGACCGCGACGGTGCTGCATGGGGAGGCGGGCTGGCTGGGCACGGGGCTGGGCTTGCAGGCAGCCGCCTGCCCCGGGGGATGGCAAGGGGTGTTGCCCGTTGTGTTCTCCAAGTGCTGACGCAGGTTTCCACATCGCAGGCTTCTCTGATCTGGCAGGAACTGGAGGCTGAAGAACAAGAGCTGCAGCTTGAGGCACCCCAAAGGCCTGCAAGAAACTCTTGGAGGCCCTGTGGCCAGAAGCGAAGTCCGGGCACCCCTCAGCACCCAGATGAAGGCTGCGTCAGATACTTTGTCCTGGCCACCACAGCTGCAATTGTGGCTCTCTTCCTGAACGTCTTCTACCCACTCATTTACCAGCCCCGCTGGAGATAGGCCCAGGCACGTGGCCAGCTGTGGGAGCAGGGCCGCCAGGGCACGCGCCGTCCTAGGACGCTATGAGACGAAGACATGAGGCAGCAGGACAGAAATCGCTGGGAAAGACTCGCCAAGGGAAACATGGGGCTGCCGGCTCCTGTCTGTCTGCTCTGGCATCTCCTGTGCCAGCTGGCGGCCTATGTGGCCAGCCTGCTACTTTGCCAAGGCACAGCCCAGAACCAGAAGCTCCTTTGCCCTTCCTTGCTGCCCACTGGGAGTGGGGCAGGCCTCAAGGCTACCTGCTGCTCAGGAGTGGACGTTGCTGCTGCAGTGTTGCTGGGGCCTGAGAGCACATCAACCATCTCTGCTTGGCTCCCAAGAAGGAAGTGGAGACCTGCTGGGAGGCTGCAGCAAGGGCAGGATGCCCTGACACGGGCGCTGGCTGGCCACCTCTCTCAGCTGTGCTGCTGCAGGAGCCTTGAGCTCCCCTGGGGCTGGGGCTACCCACGGTCCTTGGCCAGCCCAGTCTGCCCTGCTAGCCTTCTGCTGAGCCTGCTGGTGCCAGCTGCCTGTGCGCTGGGAGTGTGTGTGCTGCACTCCTGTGCTGGGGCTGGACGGGCTTGTCACCAAGGGCTTGTATGCTTCCCTGCTCAGCCGCAGACAGCTCCTGGGGAGCCTGGCAATGCAGACTGAGGTGCCCATGGTGAGCACCTATTTCTGTGGGTCACTGCCTCCCACCAGTCTGTGGGGCTGTGTGCTGGCACCATCTGGGGGAGCTGGTCTCTTCAGGGCAGCGTGGTGCGGCACACCTCATTTATGAGGATGCCAGCTGCCCGTTCTGCTGGAGAGGCATGGGGTCAGGGAGTAGATATGACCATGGTGCATTAATAAAGCCAGGTTTTCCAAAGAAACGCAGCATTCCTGTCCTGTGTGCTGGGACTCCCACACAGAGGCGAGGACTCCACACTGGGGTCACCTGAGGCCACTCTGTGACCCAGCTGGCACCAGGACCATCCCTTGGGCTTTGCTGGGTGCCTGGTGCACCCTGTGTGGCAGCAGGCTCAGGGGAGAGCTCTGTCTGCCCATGCCATGGGGCACAGGCTGGGCTCCAGTCCCAGCTGTGGAGTGGTAGCCTCGCGGGACACGTGCAGGGCGTGGGGAGCCCAGCAGGGCCAGGAGCAGGCACTCCCCTGAGGCTGGGGCACAGGCTGCTTACTCCACCGGTGTCTGACATTGAGACGTGTTGCCCTTGGCTGAGTGTGCCTCAGGCAGCTCTGGCGTATTTGGGTGTGAGAGGTGACTTCAGAGCCCTGTGACTTTCTTTTCTGTCTCCACTGCTGTTCTGCTGGCAGTGCCCTCAGCTGGCTTGGGAGGGATGCTTTGCAGTGAAGGGGTTCATCTGCATTTTAGGCCGGGGCCTGAGCTGGAATCCCCCTACCTCTGTCCCACACCCCTCCTCCACGTGCTGAGGTTTACTCCCCTCCCAAGCAAGTCCCAGCCGGGGAGCCCGGCAGGGCTGTGCCGTGGTCATGAGGTGCCTGTCCTGGAACAGTCGCCTCATTGTCTACAGCCCTGGGTCTCAGCAGCTTCCCCCGCTCACCCACGACGTCGGCCTCGTGGGTCTGAGTCAGTGCCCGGCGCCGGTGGGCTGACCTCTGCTCCGACTGGTGCTGGCACCCCAGGGTTGGGGCCCACAAGCTGCTGCCTGCACCTGCCTGCCCTCACCGGCGGTGGGTGGCCGGCAGCGAGGCCTGACAAGGTGCTCTCAGCCTCTCAGCCCTGGAAATCCCCTCTGGCCCTGCTCTGTTCCTCAGACCTCCGGCAGGCACTGGCAGTGTGCCTGTGGCCCGTCACTGCCGCCCGTGCTGGGGTGCAGGGCTGTGCTGAGCAGCCCCGGGGCAGGAGTGTGTGGGGCTGTGTCCCCGCCCTGGACACCACTCCGGCCCCTGGTAGCAAGGGAGGGAGATGGGTGGGCAGGGTGCAAGTCTCCCTCTCATGGCCACCTTCTGCTTGCAGGGACTGCCCCCGGTGCCGTTCGGATCCGGCCTGGCCCCCGAAGGAGCCCCGCCGCTGGCTGCGGAAGGCCTCCCCGAGCGTTTTGCCAGCCCCGCCGAGCACCCAGCCCCCTCCTACAGCAGCATGGAAGAAGTCGACTAGGGTGTCATGGGGGGCCTGGCCTGGGGGTGTGGGCCAGGCCAGGCACTGGGGGGTGGGGGGATGGGGGGAATCGGGGTTTGTCCTGCGCTCATTAAACTCTCTGAACTCCACTCGCCTCTGCTGCCTGCTGTCCCTTGGGACCCTCTGCCCCCTAGTGAGTCAGGGCACCATGTTCCCAGTGTGCTGTTAGGACCCCCAGCACCCTGCTGCCGCAGGTAGCCTCGTGCTCCAGTGTTCCCTGGTGTGACTTGGTGCTCACTGTCCCCTAATATCCCTCAGGGACCGGTGCCTGCTGGATGCACTCCACAGAGCGGCGGGGGACACAGTGTTCCCTGGTGCTGGCTGCCTCGTGTGCTCTGCTACTGGCTGCACCCTGTTGTCTCATGTCCCCTGGTGCAAATCCTGCCGCTTTAAAGCCTAGTGTCTGCTCCCGTGCCCTGGTGCTGGTGGGGCAGGACGCGCAAGTCCCGGAGTTGTAGTGCCTGTTGTGCGCTGAAGTGCCTCGTCCCCCGCTGCCTGTCTTGTCGCCTGCTGTCCCTAGCGCTCCGCTCCCTGGTGTCCCCGGGCGTGCCCTGCTGCCTTGTGTCCCTCGTGCCCGGTATCCCCCGTTGCCAACGCCGTCCCTCGCTGTCCGTAGTGCCCGGAATCCCGCCGGGTGTGTCTTGTCCCCCCGTGCCCCCCGCCTCGCCCCGGGGCCGGTGCCAGTGCGTCGGAACTGCAAGTCCCGTCAAGCCGCGGGCGGGTGGCGCGGCCAATGGCGCTCGGGGGGCGGTGCGGCCGGTCGCTGCCTCCGCCGCCGCCCGGTGCCGCGGCGCAGAGAGCCCCGGAGCGGCCG